AAAAAAAAAAAAAAAAAAAAAAGCTTAGCCAGGCTTGGTGACACATGCCTGTAATCCCAGCACTCAGGAGGCTGAGACAGAAGGATCACCATGAGTTCAAGGCCAGCCCAAACTAAAAGGTGAGACCCTGTCTCAGGGGGGTAAAAAAGATTAGCCCAGATGCCTAGACTACATAACGAGACCCTGTCTCAAAAAAACAAAACCCAAAGAAAAGAAACATACTTTTTATGTCAGAACTATTTATAAAAGGAAATTTATTTTGAAGATTGGAATTTAGTATATCTTTTGTTTATATAAAGCCTACATCTCTGACCTATTTCCCCAGGCTTCTCTTTTTGTCTTTTGCTGTGCTGGGAATCTTTGTGCATTCCACATAAACACTCTGTCACTGAGATGCATCCAAAACCATGACTATTTTTAAAATTGAGTTATTTATCCTTTCATTATTGAATTGTAATAACAATTTTTGTATTTTAAATGAAACTTATCAGATATGATTTGCAAAAACCTTTTGTCATCCTATGACTTGTCATTTCTTTACATTCTTGATAAATTCTTTGAGAGCAAAAAGTTTTAATTTGTGATGTCCAATTTATCTTTTGCTGTGGATTGTACTTTAGGTATATATTTAAGAAGCCACTTCCCAATCCGAGGTCTATAAACCCTTCTGCTCTCTCCGTTGGCTGCTATGTTACCAGGTTTTATCATGCATACATAGTTAGTTTCCAAGGGTACTATAAAGTTGGAGGAGATTGGGAGAGGGCAAGGAGGGATGAGAATAGGGTAAATGAACATGTCACCGAGCTTGTGGTTTTATCAGGAAACAGGGGATTGAACTCAGGACCTTGCAGGCCCTTTGAGGGGGGGTACAAAACCAGATTTGTTAAAATGTCTCTGCAGGTCAGCGACGGCCAACTCACTGGTCACACACCCACACACACAGGGGATCTAGTGTTTCTAGCTGTCCCAGCCGAAGCCCTGCCAGTCCCGAGACTCCAGCAGGATAACTATCACAGATACAAGTCAAACAGCCAGGAGAGCAAGAGTGCGACAGAGACCTGTCGCCTCCGCTCCAACTCCCATGATTCTATCAAGGCAGTATTGCCAACAGCCGTTCACATTTCACATGCTTTACACACTCAGGTTATTCAGACACAGACACGGAAACAAGACTGGGAGCCGAACATGACAACAACTCACACGACTGTAGAAAAGGTAAAAGATATGTACAAAGGACACAGTACTGAGGAATACACGGCTTTCTCACAATGCATGTTAGTAGTTTGCCTAGGTGTAGCTCTTAAAGAAGCCTGTCTGCCTGGCTTTGTGCCATTTTTAAAAAATACAGTATATTTGGTCTTCGCATTTAACCACCCGACTCCAGCGCTGTCCGCTGGTTTTCAATGCGAGCTGCACTTTCTCGGCGAAGGTCCATCTTCGCAGGGACTGAGCTTTTGTCTGCAAGCGTGGGAGCAGAGGCCAGAGGCCACCGCCGAGGGGCTGGGGGCTTTGGTGCCAGGGGTGGCAGCCAGAGGCGAGAAGCAGGTCTGATGATTTTTCAAGTCCTAAGCAACTGAGGGTATTTGGGCTCACTGTCTCCCCCAGAAGCCGGCTGCACAGATGTCTTCATAGCGCTCATCAAACTAAGGCTGTGCACGTGCTGCCTGGCCGGCCTCGGAGCCACAGAGTCCTAGAACCTCGGGCCACCGCACTCTGTGGAATCGGTCTGGGGGGCTCTTCACTGCATAATACGCTTTCTTGGAAGCACGAAGATGTTTAACACTTGCCCCTGAGCAAGCAGCCTGAGAAATCTCCTTATCCATCTCCTCCTGGACACAACACCCCACC